AAAAAAGAATACAGACGGTGAAAAAAAAGAAGCAAAAACAGTAAGCAGACTGTTCAGGGTGGTGCAAGTTCACTGTATTGATTGCCATCTTATTTCCATTTTCACTCCTCAGGTGATAGGGAAGATATGGTTGGCTCCCATTTCCTGACAGGCTGCCTGGAGAAGATCCAAATCCAAGGGAATAATATCGATCTGGATACAGCTCTCAAAGACAAGTCAGCTTCTTCTCACAGCTGCCCTGTATAGCCCCTAAAAGCATGCATGTCCTGGATAAGGACAAGATATTGGCTGTAGAGGAATTTCTTTGATGAATTATGAGTCTTTAAACAATAACTTGAGATACTTGTAAATAATTTCTATAAAAATGTAATAAACCGCATGCTAAAAAATAATATGTAATAAAAAATAAATAAATGGCAGTAAAATATGCACATGATGTGAAATAAAAAAAAATCACTAACATCAATTGCAAAACTCATTTTAGAACAGCAAATGGTGACAGTAAGATGTGTGACGGTTAAACACAGCTATCAAATAAAGTCTGACTACAATAACCACTGACCAGCCAAAATAGAAAAGTGACTAAAATGTGATAAAACCCAAAGCTGAACGTAAGCAACAATAATACAGTGATTAAATAATGTTGATAAAGTGAGGCATGGAAGGAAAACAAATTCCATCCATCCATCCATCCATCCATCCATCCATCCATCCATCCATCCATCCATCCATCACGCTTTATCCCTGCTGGGTCCACCCTGGACAGGTCACCAGTCCATCGCAGGGCAACACAGAGACAAACAGGATAATTAACAATTTATGCACACACTCACACTTAAGGAGAATTTAGAGACACCAATTAACCTAACAGTCATGTTTTTGGGATTGTGGGAGGAAGCCAGAGTACCCGGAGAGAACCCACGCATGCTCAGGGAGAACATGCAGCTCCATGCAACTCCATGAAGAAAGATCACGGGCCGGGAATCAAACCCAGAACCTTCTTGCTGCAAGTTCTACCCAATGTTCTCTGTGCAGCCAAAACAAATCACATAAATGTGAAAAAAAAAAAAAAACATAAAAGTGGAATTTAAAGGTATTTTGGAGGATTTTGAATTGAATTTTTTAAAAGAACTGCACTCTACACTTTAAAAAAAAGTTCACATGCATAACCCTGTACCATGTGAGGGAACGCCTATTAAACGTGTGCATGAGAATGCTTGAGCCCATTTCTCCTCATGCACGCTCTGTTTAAATGTTGCTGTTTTCATAGCTCATACAAGCTTATTGTGCCTGAACACCCACCAAACCCCTAAATCCCTCAAATACTTTATAAAATAGGACTATATAATGGACTTCATAGTGAAATCAGTTAACTGACAGTTCGGACAGATGATCACTGGTTTTTGCTCCCCTTTGGTCACTTTACTCCTCCTTCACCGCGCGGTTCCTGCGCCATCTTTATTATCAGTCGCCGCTGTCGGATAGCGACAGCCTATGGCGACAGCGGGCCGCTGTGACAGCAAATCCCATGATGCATTGTGAGGAGTGCTCTCCACATTCCGGACTATATCGCCCTCTTCGGAAACATTTCTCTTCTTCTCATACACTTCGTAGACACTTTTCTTCTTACAACCCTCAGCAATTTTCAAAGAACACCAATGAGAAAGTTGAATTTTAAAGACTGTCTGAAACCGTAGGTCACCACACACATACGCCTGAAAAAGATAGCTAACAGGACCATATCACCAGAATGATTGACAATTAGGAGGACAACTTATTTAGATGATCCACCCGGAAATAAAAAATCATACTCTAGAGCTTTAAATTCTGGTATTTTGAGCTGATGGAGACACAAAATGTATTTATATATTATTTGTGTATGACTGTTGGCTGTGTTGTGTCTCTCGTCCATTCTCAGGAGCTGGTTGTTTCTTAACCTTTTAATGGCATTTTTTTGTATTTTTCCACTCTACGTAAGACTCAGACCACTGAGTTATTCTCATCAAAGACTCCTTGTATGAATTAACTCTAATATGTTTAGGAATAATAATAATAATAATTATTATTAATATTATTATTATTTTTTTTTTTTTGCAAGATAAGATAAATAAATTGTTGGTGAGGAGGGGAGTCTGTAATTTAGCTAAATATAAAGATTAACCTCAGAAATTAACCTAAATGTCTTTTTTTAAATAAAATGTTATTCTTTAAAGGATCACTAATAATGATAATACTGGCGCATTTAAAGGTTAAATGGAGGAAGATGATGCAGAGGTGTTTTTTTTCCAACTTCAGACGTGGATGAACAATTCGGCGATTATGTTGCGCCCTCTCGTGGTTTAATAAAGGCACTGCAAAATGTATCTACTTCCGTTGAAAATATGAAAAAATATGTCATTGTGAAACGATAGAAATTTGCAGAAAATCAAGCAGATAACACATTTGTCATACATTTGGGTTTTTTGTTTGTTTGTTTTTTTACTGTTTTTTTCTGCAGTTATTGGGTCAGAAAAACTACTAACAGTTTACTTTTTTCTTATGAAAACATAAACAAGTATAAACAAGACAATAAGTTGAACCCTGGTCATGATTCACAGACTGCCGTGTGGTTGCGTCCAGATAATACATGCAAGTTTCATATAAGGCCACATATCTTAATATGGTGTTCTGATAACTCACAGGCTGTCTTCTGTGGAAATAGATTATAATAGATATATAACAAGTCCAACAGTAGTGACAATCAGATGTTTCACCAGCTATTAAGGAAAAGCCTACAAGGTTACAGTTATCAAGCATACTCTGATCAAATGAAATACACAACTGGATAGTATGACTTAACAAATGTGCAAAAGTCACATAAATAGCTGTGCAGACATAACAGCAACAGACCTTTTAAAAGGAAACATAAAACTGTGCAATTAACATTTATGTAAATAAGTCATTGAGTATAGTTTATAAAGTTTAACAGCAGCTTAGAAGGCATATTTGCCATCAGACTACTTTATGCCCTGAGGTGTCAGCAATCTTTCCAAAAGTGTCTCTTCAGCTCTCAAACAGCTTCATGCTTGGCCTAGGAGACATTGTCCAACTTTGAAGTTATTGCAAAAGTTTTTCCTTCTCCAACCATTTGCATGGTACCTTCTAGAACAGAGCTGGCCTTCCTGATGAGTCTAATTAAACTCTTCTTTTCAGTGGAAAATGCAAACCTGTTGATCTTGTAGGTCACAAATTTTGCCCTGAAAATCCTGATTTTTGTCATACAGATGACCCTTGGTGTTTACCAAGGTGATCGTTATAATGGTTTAGGAGCCCCTTTCTGTTTTACTTGGTGGTGTCGTGTGGTGTCAAACACTTGATATGATATCCTGACTGATATCCTGTGTGATCTGTGGGGTAGTGTGCCTCAGTTTTATTTTTTAACTAATTTATGAATTCATTATGAGGAATTTAAGTAAAAGAATGTCACATAGTGTTTTTTTGCCTTAACTTTGTAACAATGAAATACCTTGCCAAATAATATGTCTGTAGGTGAAATAAAAAACACAATAAAAATATAGAGGAAAAAACCATAAACATCATGAAACAAACTGTGAATCAAAAGATAAAATAAGATTGACTTCATTGATCTCGCATGATCTATATATATATATATATATATATATATATATATATATATATATATATATATATATATTTGGCTGAAGTCACTTATTTAACAGGAAAACCTAAATTTTTTTATGTCATATCCACATAAAACAGCTAATGTCTTCATATAATTCTATCCTATTATTTAAAACAGACAATGCACATATTTGTTAACATGCTCATAACAAGGTTCAACAGCTAAATATGCCAAATTTTGCCATTTTTATGGAAACCTATGATGCTCCCACAGAGAAGGCTGACTGCCCAAGACTGCTTTCCTAAAAGGAATGGCACAGTCCCCTCTGCTGTAGGATCGAGTGCAAACACTGTTTTTTTAGATGGATATATTCATGAATAGCAAATAGAGCCAGTCCATTGAAGGTTCTATATACCAGTAGAATATTAGGAAACTTAATCCTTTGAATTTTTGATGTGAATTTTAAGAATTAAGTAAGAGCAACAATGGAAAGCACGTGCATATTGAGATGCGGGGTGACTTGGTGGATCAGTTTGGACGAGGAGTATAAACATAGATATATTTAAAAAGAGGTATAAGGAAGTATTTCTAGAAAGGTACTGGGAGAAGGAGGAATTAAATAGCTGTGTATATTATAAATATCACTACATGGAAACACTGTATAGTCTAAATATGTGTATATTTTGTACGAAGGTTGAATTTATTGAAACATTATATGTTTATAACAGAAATAAATTTCATTCATTAATTAATTCATGTTCCGATAACTGTAAAAGAAAGTATAATGAAAGAAAATAACAATGATGTCAGGTGTTTGGGGCTTTTTTGTTAAGTTTTGAGAGTTTGTTTTTATAATCTCTAAACTGGTTGTAATGTGGATTTACAGGTTTGTGCGCAACCAGTCAAACAGAGGATGTGTGAAAGGATTATGGCACAGACATGTCTTTGAAACCTCAGTTGTTAAATGATTACGAATGTGTCTGTATGAGCAAGATTTATTTTTACTGCATTTATTACCTGTTTCACATGGGATTTGCCCTCTGGTGGTTAACTTTTAAAAATACAATAAAATCATAAAAATACGCAAATAAATAAAAGAGGATGAAATTATTGAACGTGCATTTCATATATCATACGGTAAATTTCTTTTGATTTCTGCATTTAGAATTGTGATACCGTACATAAATGTAGAAATGTTTTAATCAGTTAATTTTATTTTTATTATAATACAATAATCACAGATGTAAATATTTATTAACGGGTTTTCTATTTTTAAATTTGTGCCACTGCTGCAAGTTTGTTTACTGTGTAGCTCTGACGCTAAGAATATCACTACGACAACAGAATCGCCGTCAAGACAAGGGTACCGTCGCAAAACCAGGGTGTCGTAAATCCTGGCCGCCCCCATGAAGATGGCGGCGGAGCTGCATCCGCGGAGCGGAAAGCTTATCGGCCTGTCCAACTCGAACCGAACCGCCAGGCGCAACCAGCCCATCCAGGAGTTCAACCACGGCCTGGTTTTCAGTAAGGAGCCCCTGAGGGACCGGGATGTCTTCACCGTCCGTATTGACAAGAAGGTAAACAACTGCAGGCCCGCCGGTGGTTCTCCAGAGCAGAAGTGGGAGCGCCCGGGAGGGAGGGGGGTTCTGCGCCCGCAGTGAGGGGCTTCAGCCTTCTGCGATGTTCAAACAACCTGACAGCCTCAGTATCTTAATGAGCGCCTCCATTATCAGGGTTTCCTAATGGGGGAGCAGCGTCGGAGAGTAGATATGTTAAACGGTTAGCTTAATAGCGATAAACCGCTCCTGCAGCTTTGGTACCGACAGTTAGCTGCGCTAATGGGTTCTTAGCAGCAGAAACACAGGGACTGTTCGGGACCAGCCTCTCTGGAAGGTAGCCGTTGGGACCGTTGGGTCCGGTATGGGGCCCCAGGTTTCGTTTCTGTCTGGGAGGAGCTGATTTGGGCTCGTAAACAGCTTTGTTCTAATGGAGTTAGCTTATCTCAGACCCGGTTAGCACCTTCTAACTGCTGTTAATGTTAATGATAAGCAGAACTGGCCTCCTGGTCAGTCACACACAGCTTCTTCACTTGCTATTACTCATTAATTACTTTATTCTCTTGTCAGTTCTATCGATTTCTCTCATTTTGTTTTTTTTTATTTGCACAATATAGCTTTGTAGGAATATCACTGTATTACTTCTTTAGATGACAATAATAGATTCAGAATGTTTGATGATGTCTGTCTGCAGTAGACCTGCACCTGTGACCACCATCACCTGTGTCAGGTGGTTTTAATCCAAACAAAACATTTTGCATGAAAGAATATTTCCCTAAACTTGATCTGATTTATAGCAAAGTGAGTAAAAAGCATGCAACATACCAAATGCCATTATTCTTATTGACCATTCAGACAAACTTGTGTGCATACATAATATTTAACTTTCCACACACTAAGAAAATTTAGTATTTTAAAGCAAAACCCGAACCAATTGAAAGGAAATCATCTTTTAGTAGGAATCTTGTAAAATATAGCAAAGAGAGATAAACTGATACATTATTTGGTTGATATTTTAGGCCAATATTTCTAAGTTTTTATGTTGTTGTTCTTTTTCTTGTATTTGGGTTCATTAGCATATTCAGCAAACATGCCTTCTTATCAGTTAAAAGTATTTTATGTAAATAGACTTAGAGTTAGACTCAACTTTATTTATCCCTTAGGATTGATTACCCCTTCAGGGAAATTCTGGTTCCAGTAGCTTATATAGAGTAAAAAGTCTTATAATGAAATGCCATAAAGATGAAAATATAAAAAAGAGTGCATATAGTACAAAAGAAAAGCATAAAAAAGAAAAAAGTTGTGAAGTCCTTGAATATGTTTCCCTTACAGTAGTTATAAAAAAAATCTGCACAGTAGAGAGCTAAGGGAAGACTACACAGTAGTTGACTTGGGTTATTGCACTTGCACTGCAGAAATGTACTGACCATATAGATAAGTGAAAATTATACAGACTACACAGTAGTTTACTTGGATAATTACACATGTACTGCAGAGAATCAGCCCGCTTAAATCTGCATCAAATATTAGGGATCAATTAGACCACCGCCATAACTTTCTGAAGGACTGGTGTGAACATGTCCCCACCAATAATCTCCTCTGTTTTTCCCCTTTCCGCTTATTTACTTTACTCAAAGGTAACAGAGTTAGGTGAAGCTATCTGTGTTCAGAGCGTTTTCAGTCTGTGTTTTTTTTGTTTTCCTCTCTCGTGCTGCTCCTGTGTCCCGCCTCTCGGTGTAACATCATCGGACATCGGATATGTCGCTTTAAGACATCTGATTTGCAGTCGCTTTTCACTGTTAACAAAGTAGCTACATGATTGGAGGAGAGACATACAGCAGCACTCAGTGAATATTAACCAGCAGCTACTTTGAGGTTTAAGTAAAAGTTAGGAGACGGGTTGGTTAAAAAAAAAAATTGAGATCATACGAATGAAAAATCTGTATGTTGGACTTGCAGAGCTTTTTAGGCTCAAAAATGGCACCAATTTGTAAGTTTATACAAGGTAGTACTATAATGTAAGAAGCTTAAGAAAACATAGTTTGTTCTTCTTTACTTGTTAAAAAAGCTTGTCTTCTTAGAGGACCATCACTCCCAGTTACTGGTTACAATTAACATGTTTTCTTATTGTCCAGACAGAATCAGACTGCAGAGCTTCTACATATCTTGAAATGTTGTTTCTGGCATCATCATGTTAGTAAAGAGGTTCATAAATCTTTTTAAACAGAGCACAGACAGAAGTAGGGAGAGCTGCAGCTTTAAAGGAATATTACACCCAAAACATGATTAGCCTTCATTTTCTACTCACCCCCATGCTGAACAACACTCTGGAGTACTTTTTTGATATCTCAAATGCATCTGGAGATCTGGGAGGCTTCTTGCTGTCTGCTGACATTCAAATAATGGAGGTCTATGGTGACCGAGACAGAAAGGTCCATAAAAGTCCACAAAAAAGTGTCAATATTCCTCCATACTGCTCGTCCAATGTATTCCAAGTGTCCTGAGTGGGTAGCGTCCAGAATTTACTCGAAACGAAGTCATTTAGAATGTTTTTAGAGCATAAACAGTAGTGTATAGGATTTCCTGAAAGCGCGCGCCGGCGCGTTCATGACGCTACGGAAGCCGGCAGACCAAGCCAGATGAAAGTGCGCATTCAGTGTCTGCTCTGCCGATAATGCAAGCGTAGAAGAAGAAATGTGCTGTTTACCTGTGCAAAGAAAGAAACAACGAAAGAAAAATTCTGAGGACTTCAGTGTTGAGGAAGAGCATGAGTTCTTTGCCGAGCTGAATGCGCTGGTTTGGTCTGCCGGCTTCCGTAGCGTCGGGAGCGCGCATGTGCGCGCTTTCAGGAAATCCTATACACTACTGTTTATGCTCTAAAAACATTCTAAATGACTTCGTTTCGAGTAAATTCTGGACGCTACCCACTCAGGACAGTTGGAATACATTGGACGAGCAGTATGGAGGAATATTGACACGTTTTTTGTGGACTTTTATGGACCTTTCTGCCTCGGGCGCCGTAGACCTCCATTATTTGAATGTCAGCAGACAGCAAGAAGCCTCCCAGATCTCCAGATGCATTTGAGATATCACAAAAGTACTCCAGAGTTTTGTTCAGCATGGGGGTGAGTAGAAAATGAAGGCTAATCATGTTTTGGGTGTACTATTCCTTTAAAGGTGAAACAGATTTACTGGGATATTTAACACGCTTTAAACTATATCTCCAAGTTTACCGGAAAGTTTACAAGAAAACAATATGCTATGCTATAATTAAAATGCAGCATATCCATATTTTTCTGGATGGATGGAATTGAAATTGTACTTCTAGGGATGCATGATATATCGATTTTGGCTTCGGAATCGCTTCTTATTCATTTTTTTTTCAATACATTAATGTTTTTGGGCTGTATATATGTAATGCACTAAAATGCATCTCTCTAACTATCTATAAATATAAATATCAGTGTATTATAGTTCTTAACAATAAGAAAGCATTCAATAAATATATGTTTGAGCTCATTTTTGGAAAATACAAAAACCTAATGAAAGCGTTTGGGTCCAGTAACTATAGGTCCATCAGCCCCCACCCTTAGAGTGTCCCCACCAATTTTCATCACAAAGTTACACCCTTGGTTTACACTTATGTCATAATAATCAGACTTGGCATAAGCCTTGTGAACCTTTTATTGGTTGATCTCCAGTAGAAAAATCTCATGGTTCCTTTAATAAATATGACCTCTTTATGCTGTCCTTTGGGAGTATATGTTAATCTCTCCAGAGGATGATACAGAGGAATAATTTTTTAATGCTTTCTATCAATAGAGGAGAAAAAAGTTAAGGGAAAGTCACCCAACAGGATCTTTGGTTCTTTGGTTTCTTTCTTTTTCATTTTTATTTACAAACACATCTCATGAAAATGGAACATTTTGACCACCACCTCCACTTGATCCAGTAGTACGGTAATTGGTTATTTGTAAAAGACTGTTAAAGATTTGATCATTAAAAAAGAAGAGTCATAAAAATGTGCATTAAGTAAATATTGCCTCTCAGTTTACAGTAATAATATCACAGGCCTCATAGTTTCCTTATATGTATTTGTCACTTATGTTACAATAGGCCCTGGTCACTTTTTTTTTTTCTTTTGGCTAGTTTGTTGTAAATTGATTAAACTTCATGGGACCCTTGGATTTGGGAGGGTCTATTTATTGATTAAAGAGAAAAACAAACATTAGAAGCCTTAACTGCATCAATATCTTCTACGTATGGTATTTAAGTACATTTAGAATTCTTAAAATATTTCTTCATGTTTTGATAGATTAAGTTGAGTTCCACCTTCCGCTTGACTTCTTCTACCGGTGTTGTAAAAAAATCAGTCTTTAAGGTTTTATATCCTGCATGTTTTAGATCAATCAGGACCCTGTAGATCTTGTAAAAAAAACTCTTGTGCTTGTTGTGATGTCCTCAACCTGGACACATGGTTAAGATTTTAAAACCTTTAAGTATTTTCAAAACACCAGCTGTTAAATTGTATAGTTTGTAGGTTTTTTTTGTTTTAGGGGTTTCTGTCTCTGGAGCAGAGCTTTTAAAAGTTGTCGGATCAAAGCTTTGGGTCAACGTCATCCAGACCACACACCCCCTCTTTACAGTGACAGTGTGTGTCCAGCCTTGATGCATGTAGGGAGAGAGAGGGAGGCTGTCCAGAGCTGCTACGTGGCGCCATCTGCGCGCCCATAAAAAGAAAACATCTGGCCTAATGGCACCTGCTTAACTGAGTGTAAATCATTCGGCCTCCCTCATGGCAGGCCTTGATAGGGGCTCTCATTATCGGCCTCGTGACTGGATGAACATCGATTCTTCTTCCATCACGACGACCTGCCGCCTGACTGAAAACACAGCATACTGGCATCTGCTGAGCAGCAGGCAAGTAATGAGAGAGTTTATTGGACATTAAAGCCTGATGTGAGTCCGACCCAGTCAGAGGTTAAGCTTTATTATGTGAGATTTACTTTGACAGTGGTGAA